TAGTCTATATTTTATATGCCGTGTTTCCAAATAATTAGAGTAACCAAATTAACTAGCAGCTCCATGTAGGGAAAATAAGATCAAAATCTCCACTCATTCGTTTTATGTTTTATGTGCACACAAAACTAATTTCTGCCTCATATCTGAGACCTCTATCACATCTTAAACTCAATTTTCTCTTAGGTAAGGATAGACAATGCAACTTTAGCAAAGGGATCAAAATTATATGGGAAACATTTAAAATGCAAATTTAGGATCATGGTATTAATGTGAAAAGAATGTCTTCACATCCTAACTCTTCCTTGCGTTTCTACAGACACATCAATTCTTCACAAATTAGATGTGCTTTCTTTATATCTAAATCTCTATATTAAAAAAAAGCCCCTCATTTTCATGCTGCTGATGTATAGAATTTGTTTCCAAATGGCAGCAAAGGTGATTATGACTGTATTCTTCTGATAAAGGAAACTTCAGCATGCTTTTAGACATCAAAATTCGCAGCATATGAAAGCATTTTAAAATCCAAGTAGGTGGCTAATCACTCTACAAAAAGGTGAATTTCTGACACTATGTTTAAAGGAGACAAATGGAGGATTACAGAGACTTAAATGCCACCCAGTTGAAGCTGGGTGCTAACAGAAATACATCTCACATTCTCTGTGGTTCTGCCCCACAGGGAGAAGACAACATCCCCCAGTGCAATTGCCAAGGGCCCTGCAGGGTCATGCCGCTGGGGATTGGGCTGGCGAATAAAACTTGAAAAATCATTTGACTTTTTAAAGACCTTTGGGGAGAATATTACATGTGTTATTTCTTACACAGAAATAGGGAGTTGGATTGTTGAAATTGAGAGCGAAGAGTTGCAGAGTTACAGCAAACAGGTGGACATGAAGTATGGTGATGATACTATTATTCTTTCAGTCTCAGCACTGATGTTTTCAAGCATAACCAGCCACTCAGCAGTAATGATTCCACACTGAGATAAAAGTTATTTATGTTTATTCCTTTTCCTCCTCTTAGAAAGCCTCTCAAAACATAGGTGGTATATACAATGTCATGCACAACGAAAGTGTACAGGTTTCAGAGAACCTGAGACTGACGTGTGCTGCAGGCTGTGCATATTTCAGACACCTCAAACATCAAAGAGTCAAAGATGGAACTTACTTCTAGGTCAAAATTAAAACAAGAGGGAAATGAATCTCTGTGTAGACAGAAAGCGTCCCTCCTCCTTGGAAGAAGCTGGGCTGAGCTGCTTTGCATAATAACACAAGCTAAACCAAATAACATCAGTACAAACCAAACAGCTTAAACAGAAAGCAAAACCAAATAACACTTTGAAAATGGATACACTACAACTCTCAGAAACACATTTGAAGTTATGATTCACACCTTTTATAATGCTCAACAACAACAAAAGTCTGGTTAATTTAAAATTGAAGAAAAATATGGACTTTCAACTCATTTTGAGATGTTAGAATGTGTGTCTTTCAAATGGCAAAAGAAAATACCTGCATCTTGGCAAATCAATAATAAATTCAGTCTTCAACGTACTTAGAATTAATTTTTGTTCTATATATTTCTCTTGCTTTTTTGTTTCCTTCAATTTTAACTGACACCAAGAAAGGGACGAAGCACAACAAGAACACAGCTAACAAAAACACGCATCTATCTTCTTAGCTTCTGGTCACAGAAGTAAATTTATGACAAATTTAATACTAGCTTGAGAGTAACTAAGCCCAATTGTAATTATCTTGCTGGGAAGAGAAATTAATTAAACATCCCTGTGATAAAGACCCAGCAGCAAACCTAGAATAAACACATAACTGGTGAAGGAGAGGGGCTTGAAATAAAGGAGAAGAGAAGGGAAGGGCTAATATTTAGCCCATCTGTTCAGATAGTAATGGACGAGGTAATCTTTTCAAGAGTACATGGAGTGCATTACAGTGGAAATGAGACTACCTGGCGGGCAAAGTCAGCCGAGTTTCTAATTCTCTTCTTCAACTTTGTGATTTGCTAATGTGAAACACATGTCTCCCTTTTGCACCAAGTTCAAATAACTCCGGAATTCCAACCGTGCAGCTCAACGACTGAACCAGAACAAGGGGAGAACTTGTCAGGATTTAAGAGCTTTCAGCAAAGCCCTTCAATTGCAGCCAGCACCCTATTCCCCGGAAGGATATCAATTATAGATAGTGACTTGCTTTAGCAGGCAGTCGGGACTGTCAGACACTAGATAGACAACCATGAAGAATCATGAATCTTTCTATTAACTGTAAGAAGGGGAAAAAGAATGGGTCACGGCTATAAATAAGGCAGAGCATCAGAATGGTTTAACACCTTGCCTCTTGGTTGTATGTGGCATGAAAATTCAACTAATTCACAAAATGTCCTCTCTCCAAGGAAAGTCACAGGAATGGAAACTGTTAATGTTTCCCTCTGTAAAAAAGTAGTTTTTGCAACTGGTATTTATTCTACCACCAAAGTAATTAGGTGGACTTGAAGTAGCTATTCCTTCAATCAACATAATACAAAGAACCTACCTACTCTATAACAGGCCACCACTACTGCTGCCAGATATACTCATGAGTAAGAAAGTACACGCATGTCATGCAATGTAGAATCAATTTAAACATGCAAACTTGGGGATCCTGCACCTCAGACAGTAAGTAAAAAGGCAGAAAATAAGTGATACAAACTAGTATTCTTATTTTTGTTGTGGTAAATTAAAATTCTTAATTCATTTAATTAAGTTTATTTACTCATATAATTTGTCTCAGACTAAAATTAATATCATAAAAGTAATATATTGGATTTTCTTCTAATCCTGACATGAATTTCTTCTGGTTAATCTGGAATTAAAATATTCCACTGTATATGTGCGCATTCATATTTTTTAAAGACCATTTTGATAAAACAGACAACATGCTGGTCATTTAGTTGGTAGTTTTAAGCAGCCTTCCTTTAAAACTACTCAGATCTCTCTATTAAAACATCATTGAGACCACTGGCCACCGAAATTAAATTCAAATACCTGCCATTTCACCATCTTTTAAAAGCTTTCACATTACTGTATTTAGGCTGTGAAAGGGTTAAGCTACTACTGCACTCCAAAAAATATTACTTCAAACCCTGCCTCTTATGAGGAGCACGATTCATTTTAAATGTAGACTTAGAATAAGCTCTTATTTCATTCCTGATTTGGTAATGACTGAACCAGTATCCAACATTCCTTGCAAACTACAATGACTTCCCCTCCAAAACAGCACCATGAGACTGTGTCACCTTCAGGATATTTTAAAAAGCAAGACATCCTGCCAACATCTCTTCTATGATAGCAGGTTTTGCACAAACAATTCTCTTCATGTTTGTTGATCATTCATTATATCACTAAGGATACACATAGCATATGCTACTCTTTGGGAGTATTTCCCCATACTAAAACAAAAACGCCAAACTTTTCTCCCCCTTGGTATTCCAATGTCTTTGTGATTTCCATTAAACAGTCAGCAAGAATAAATGGCCATTAAGTCAGGCTTGGCTTAAAAATAACACTTGCATCAAATTAAAGAAAAAGAATCAACTTAAGTTCATGGAAAAATTCTGGAAATATACCTTAATTAAAAACATTTGACTTTTTTTTTTTTTTTCTGTGCTCAGAAATCTATAATTCTTTGTATACAATTACCAGGAGACATGATTTAAAAAGCAGTGGAGGAGAGGAACCCTGGCGACAGCATGTAAAATCCTCAAAACATTCTGTACAGAACAGAGCTCAAAATCTGGCACCCTGTGTGCTTAACACTATAATGTAACTGCAATGCGTGGAATATATTATATAGGATGTGCCGAGTTGCAAGAGACACACATTAAAAGATCACACTGCCTATGAAACGTGTGGGATGTAAGAGGGACTCAAAATTTTAGTGCTTAATCTAAATGTTAGTTATCAAAAAACATGAATTGCCTAAAAACACAGTTACTGTAAAAAGAAAAATGGATCATGGAAGAGAAAGTGGAGACAGAAAAAGAGAGAGAGCAGGAGGAGGAGAACCGCAACAAATGCTACTTTGTCCAATTTCTCATCACATTAAAAGCTTGAAAAACTGCCACACTTAATGCCTCAACAGGACCCTGTGCTTCTGCCAGGGGTTGTAGCACCTGCATCTTTTTATTCTTGATCATCTAAATGTTCTTCCACGTCAGCTGCTCCTGGTCCCATTTGCCAGGGAAAACTCCACTGGTCTTCAAGAAAGTGCCAAGAACAGTGAAGCACTGGGAAGGGAGTATCACAAATCAGGCATGGGATGGGGAGAAGGCTTTGTGCACACTGCATTATTTGAAATGATATGCAGAAGAGTGTGTAAAAAGTTCTGAACCTGGTTTGGAAGAGGAGGTGTGGTTCTCAATCTGACCATGCTGCAGTTTCCAAAATATCCATCACTAAATACATTTAAAAACACATATAACTTTTTCCATGAAACTACTAACCCCACAAGGGCTGGCCTCAAACCAAGAAATGATGTTACCTAGCTCATCTAGAGTACTAACTGCGGCTTAAAATAATGGGAGCTTCCTTAGGCTTTGAGAGTTTGGGAGAGGAAAAAAAGAAATTCCCCATCTCCACGTTTTTTCCATTGTTACCGGGCCTGGGAAGGGGAATCAAACTTGGTTAAAAGGTTAATCATAATTCATGTCCAGCTTACTATTACTCAATAACCATCAAAGTCGCTAACTCAAAATAGTGTTTTCTGGCTTACAGGATCAGAGTCATTACACTCTCTATTGAAGACTTTATTGAATTTTACACTCAGCTTTAGCTGACTGAACAGGTCAAGCACCGTGGCTCCGAGTTTTCTTTATTCTCAGAAAGTCATAAAGCCCTCTCCAGTTTGCAATGCTGCTCACTAAGAAACTTGACTCAGCTCAGGGTCAGAGAGGCCGACCTCCCTGGAAAGGGTCACAGAGCTGTAAAGCCCCGTTTCTGAATACTATCCACTTACGTGCACAAGCTGCTCTTGGGTGTCGAACTCCCTCGTGCAGCCTTCCCAGTGGCAGTTTGTCTCATAGATGACTTCAGGCTCCTGTTTGCTTTCATCTTTGTCCCCTTCCTCCTTGACAAGGGTTGTTCCTTCGGGCTGTTCCTGAAAGAAGAGGGTAGGGGGCAGGGAACAGAGAAGGGGGAAGCATCAGACACAATGGGAGGGAAGACAAGAAGAGAAGGTAAAAACTGGATTCAGATTTGGGTCTAGGGTTTTGTGAATTGAAGAAGTCAAACAATAAAATCATTTCTGTGCACGTTTTCAGATTTACGAAATACACTCTGGGAGTTTTAACATGTGATTCAAGGCAACAGCCTGTCAAAACGATGATTAAAAGTTGAGGCCAAACTTTGCTGCCCTGATTACAGAGCTGAAAATAAACCCAAATGTCATCTTAAAAAAAACAAAACAAAACAAAACAAAACAAAACCAAAAACAAACAAAACAAAGCTTATAAGACAATAAATCAAATTAGATCTTTACTCAAAAGATTGGTACTTCTATTTTGTTTAGTTGTTTTAATTATTTTCGGTCTGTTAATTTGTTTCTTCTTATATTTTGCAATTGAGGGAAATGGTTTACTAGTATTTCTAATTCTGTTTTCCCTGCTATTGGAGACTGTGTGAGACACTTTTGTGGACTTTATAGGGATAATGTCCTCTCGATTCAACCTCTGATCTCTAAGGATATGCTCACTACCCAGGGCCCAGGGGCCACAGCATCAAAGCTCAGGGGCACAGTCCTTCCTGCGGCAGCTTCACAGCAATGCAAATCCAAGTCATTTTAAGAATTCATCTTGTGTAGATTCAGGTCCCAATCCGGGGCTAGATGATAAAAACCGTATGCAGGCATTGAAGTGTAACCAGCAAGGTAGTTGCTGTCTGGCAATATGCAAGAGGAAAGATCCATTTCAGAACCAGTGACACCAATTTACTCCAGCCTCCACGTTCTTGCTGAAAAGGAAATTTGGGCAAGTAGTCTGAGGTTTGGGCTGAAGCAGCCTGATGACAACAAGGTCCAGATTCTCTGGACAGCTGGACTCTTGTCCAATCTCTATGTTGGGGAATTAGCAATCATGGAGCTCCTTCCTGTGTCAGGCTGAGAGTCCTATGAGATGATATTATGGGTATAACCTATACATCCTTAAACTGAGGCCTAAAGAATTTAAGTGACTAGAGGCGGAGTCTGGATTGAAATTCCTACACTTTTCCTTTCAGAGTTTTGGGCTGAGTGCCAGGATTTAACTAGCCTTAGGTTAGTTGTGTTTTCATCCCTTCTGGTTCGCCAGGCTCTCCTAGAAAGTGGGAAGTAGCAAAATAAGAAAAAATGAGAACACAATTGGTATAGGAGCCATCAGTAGATCTGCCACAGCTCAGGCTTGGGTCCAGGAGCTCAGTAATTCAGGCTCAAGATCACAGATGAGGATTGAAGCCTGGTCTCACCTGTGGCCAGCAACAAATTAATGCAACCATTTCCTCTATGAACTACAGCTGACCATACTCCTAACCTGCCTAACCTGTCAAGAAGCTATGCCCCACATGGCTTCCTGGACTGCATTTGCTTCTGAGCTAGAAGAACAATTTAGTGACTCTATACCTAGCCTTTTGTACAACATGTCGAGTATGGCCAAGGTCAACAATGCAGTAAACAAGGAACTGCTGTGAAAAGACACCAGGACTGGGAAGGAAGGGGGAGCTGGCTTAAAGACACCAACCTTGGGAGGAGTGGACGCTGGCCTGTGCACCCTGAGTGTCCTACCTGCTGCCCCCGAGCCCCTGGGCTGGGGAGGTCTTCATCGGGTTTGATCTTGGACCTCTTGTTGTGCATCGGGTCACCAGTGCTGCTCACTGCAGACTCACTCGTGGGCTTGTTCTGCTGGTCACATTTGCAGAGCCAGAGACAAAAAGATTTTCATCAACAAGGAGCAGTACCATAATTAAAACCTGCAACTCGGGACAAGCGGGCTTATTTGGCAATAAAGCAACAACTCTGATAATGCTCCAATTCCCAGGGTAGTAGAGTTCAGATAGTATGTTCAAAGCTAGAAAATACGTAAATGCGGCAGCTCTTCATTTTTAACTCGTGAGTATAAACTCCCTGTGGCTTTTAAAAGCTAGAAGAATGGAGCTGAGGCCCTAAGCTTTAACAAGCTCCAACAGGGTATTTCAAAAGAACAAAGTTGTGAGGAGGGTAGAAGACCAACCCGTTCCGTTTGTGAAGTTCTTTAACCAGAGCATCCAGATTTTTCTCCAAACAATATCAAAGTGGCAACAGTTAACGCAGGGCAAAGCACAGTTTTAGTCTTACTCTAAAGTACCACCTGGTGGTAAGTCGCAACTGTGGTTCTAGCAGAGGGAGTGAACAGTGACCAAATAAGAGCAAATGAGACCAAATGAGAGCAATGCATCCACACGCTGCATTAACATGGGATGCAGGTTACAGATGGCACCAGGTCACAGGGGAGCCCTATCAAGCAGCCTGCTGCTATTCCCATGGGAAAATGACTCTGGGGGAAAAAACTGTTTGATGAGAAGCATTTACACAACACGTCCACCAAAACTGAAGACTAGACCTCAGTATTAAGAAGACAGGATGCCAGTACGAACGCTGTGAGAACACAGAGGTGTCGTGTTGATTTAACGGCTGACATGGTGGCCTGCCCCCACCCTCGGCTGACCAGCGCAGCCGGGTGCATCGACCTATCCCTCTCACCTGTGAGGACTCGGAAGGGCCGGAGCTGACCTGGACGGGGTTCAGAACCGTGGGGATCCCTGGAATAGGCCTCTGTGTTGGAAAAGTTGGGGCAGGGTGGATAAGTGGAGGGCTGTGTCCAAAGGCTGAACCTAAACTCTGCTGTCGGCTTAGGATCTGCTGATGCATGTGGAGAGAGACGGGCGCAGAAGAGTAGGTGAAGCTCAAGGCTGGGCTGTGCGTGGGAGATAAAAAAAGACGACCATCACTTAAATGCCGAGCTCAGACAAGTACACAAGATCTGCAGCTTTCTATCTATAATTTTACCATCCCAAATCAAATTTGTTTAAATGAGAAGGTAGGATTATTGCCAAGCATCTTGAAAACTTCTAAGGGAAAGATGAGCACTGAGATGAGACACGCATGTGCGTGCACATACACACGCAGACCTGAAACAAGATTCTGCAAAAACGGAAATAAAAGGCATCAGCTCAATAATAACTATTTATTGCAATAACAAACTTTATATAAAAAAGAGAATGGGTGACTACATGCTTTATAGGACTTTTATTGGCTCTTAGTTCCGTATGTTCCTGTGTATGGAGCAATTCCTTTAATCTTAGCTCACACCGCACGCTTTCATATGTCTCCAGATCTTATTACAAGAGGAAAGAAAATCAATTGGTTAAATGTGTTTTGAACACCATGCTTGTCATATCACTCATTTGTTTGCAAAGATGGAAAGCTTGGTTCATCCAGAATGCCACCTAAAGAATTTCCATCAGTGCCGTCTGGTTACAGAAGCTGATGGATTAACCTCTCCCCACTGAAATCAGTGATCAATGGGCTTCGATGGAGGAATATTCCAGTGGGAGAGCACTGCTCCCTCTTCTAGCTAACCAGCATTTAATGTCTATTAAAGCCCATTATGCATGCTAATGCCTGTCACTACTTTATTATGCCACACTATTTCCCAGGCTACAGTAAGTCCTGAGGAAGCAGTGATATTACCTAAAGATTTCTCGACTAGCAGGCAATGCCAAATCATTCTTTGTGCCAGCGTGGTTTTGGAATCAAACCCTCTTAAAAGAACGGAGTGTTCTTAAGGAATTTGCCAATGGCTTAAAAATGCATGAAAAACTAATAATTGCATCCATGGAAATTTCTTTTTAAAAAAATAATCAGTAAAAATATATTTTTGTATATATGTATATATTTCTCCCTATCCTGCTGTGTAATATCCAGAAAGAATCAGGGTTTCTTGTAATGTCAAAGTCAGAATTCACGCAAATTTCCAATCTGGTGGGTTAATTACTATGGCTGTTAAGCGCATTAACGGAGAATAAAATAATTACAATAGCAAAATTCAAACCATTTCAACAACTTTAAGTAATAATTCCAAAGATATACTCTGTTCATTAACGTGACTCTACATTTTGCCTATTTGACTACAATCCATAACAGGCAGCTTCAATGGGATTACATTACTATTATTTCTACAGAGAACCTTACATTACAATAGCTTGCCCATTTAAGACTGAATATCATTAAGAATACCCTAGGAGAATTTCACCAGGCTTTGAGGAACTCTCCTTTCATTCTGCATTGTATTTCTTTAATAAAGGAAAGCAGAAACATGGTGAAAACAGTCATTGTTCACAGTAAGTTAGGGAGAAATCAGTAATAATATTCCGTTTCTGCGGCGTTATAGTTGCTGCCAGTGTTTCCAAAAGCAAGCATGAATGATTACAGCAAGACTTAGCTAAGGTAGCTGTGTGGATGATTGATAGGGCATTAATCAAAAGATGCATATCTGCCTCAGAATTTGTTCACAAGCTTTCTTCTAATAGCTGATTTCATGTTCACTGAGCTCTATGCCAGTTTGTCCAATTTATTTTTCAGTGTACAGGCCATTCATCAAACAACACAATGATTTAACAGCCCCCCTTCCTTTGGGTGAATGAGTATTACTAAGTGTAACTACGTTACTCTATTCATTAAATAAACAAAAACCAAAATAACCCACTTCACATATAATTACCATGGCACACAGACTTTGTATGTATCTCCAAACACCTTTCCAGGGTTCTAGGAGACTAGACTCTCTGGCAGAGTTGGGAGAGGGTCCCTGAAGATCATTTACACTTCTAATTCTGGGAGACATGACATTTGGGGGTTTAAAAAGTCAGTACTTAATTAAAAAATAGAGACAATTAAAAAAACATTTCACAAAGCAAAATACACCCTTGATTTTATACATAAGCAACTCACAGGCGTTCACAGACGGATAAGGGAAGTACATTTTTCGAATGATGCAGGAGGCTGGGCGCGGTGGCTCACGCCTGTAATCCCAAGCACTTTGGGAGGCCGAGGCGGGTGGCTCACTTGAGGTCAGGAGTTCGAGACAAGCCTGACCAACATGGCGAAACCTCGTTTCTACTAAAAATACAAAAACGAACCGGGCGTGATGGCACACACTTGTAATCCCAGCTGCACAGGAGTCTGAGGTAGGAGAATCGCTTGGACTGGGGAGGTGGAGATTGCGGTGAGCCAAGATTGCACCACTGCACTCCAGCCTGGGTGACAGAGCGAGACTCTGTCTCAAAAATAATAATAATAACAATAAATAAAAATAAAAAAATAAAAAGATGTAGGAGGTGTCCTTACAAAAGACAAGGCTCAGCATTCCCACCGCAGTTTCCTAGGTCCACGATCCTCCTTGTCCTCGGGGAGCAGGGGTAGGGGTTCTGAAAGCTCTCGACATACTTTGGCCATGTCCCCATTCAGGGCCCCCACCTTTTTGCTGATAAAACCAGGTGACGGGAATAAATGTTCTCTAAAATCCACATCAATGATTAGACTGCAAGTGGACGGTGATCATGAGCCTTCAGGGCTTACTCATAAGAAGCCAGCAACAGAAACACTCTCCTCCTCCTCATGCACAGACCTGGGTCAAGGCAGGGTATGGGACAGCTTGTCTGGACCCAGAAGGGTTGACCCTCAGCCTTCTGCTGTCGCTCCTGCCAGGGACTGTGCGCAAGAGAGCTGCTCCACTCCAGATGACAAAGCCAATTCAGAATTTGATGACAAAAGTAGAAAGTTCTCAGCTCTGACACAGTATCACTTAACAGATTTGGAAGTCAAGGCTCCTCTGCTCTCAGAACACTGCCATCAGAGTGCTGGGGCTGAGGACAGGCGATGACTGGGCACAGCACACGGATGTCGAGAGTCACAGACAAAATGCCCACGAGAAAGGATGCGTCCCATGCACACCCTCAACCCTCTCGGGCAAGATCAAGGCATGAAAAGATTCTCCTGAGGTTTTCCCACTGCGGGGATAAGAAAACCTGAGCCACCACAGCCTCCTCCTTTAAATCAAAGTGGGGAGGGCTGTGGAGGAGGGGAGTCCTGCATCCTTTTGCCTCCTGTCACAGCACAAGCCCCTCTGCATGTTCAGCACTCACAGTGTCCCCTGCCTGGAACCCTTGGCTTCCAGAGCTCAGAATGGCCACTTCCTTTTTAACATTCAGGTTCCAGCTCCTCAGAGGGGCCTTCTTAGACTCATGCCCCATCAAAACGAGCCCCCTCTGCACCTCCTTGCCCCATCATTTTCTACTGCGTGCCAGTTCTATTCTCATGGCAGCATGCAGTACTCTCTCTAACTCCTTCTGTCTCTCTGTCCAGGAGGCAAGGTCCAGCTGGGCCGGGCAGTGTGGCTGGCAGAGCAGACGCACAGTACTGAGTCAACAGGTGACTGAATCTCTTCTTCAGTGTCTATTAGTTTCCTGTTGCTGCTGCAACGAACAGCCCAAACTGAGTGGCTTAAAACAACAGACACGGTTTATTATCTTACAGTTCTGGAAGTCAGAAGTCTGCAATAGGCCGGTGGGGTTGCATTCTTCCAGACAGTCTAGGTTCCCTGCCTCTTCCGTTTCCTGGAGGCTGCCCACATTCCTCAGCTCAGGGGTTCACATCACTCAGGCCTCCTCCTCCTCCTCCTCCTCTGACCCTAACTTGCCTCTCCTGCCTCCCTCTCACAAGGGCCCCTGTGATTACATCACTGCCACCCACACAATCGAGGATCATCTTCTCATCTCAAGATCCTTAGCTTAATCACACCTGTGAAAGTCCTGGCGTGGAAGGGAACCTATTCACAGGACCTGGGGATTAGGATGTGGACATCTTTGGGGCTGTTATCCTGCCTACCACACTCAGAAGAATCACCTCAAAGAAAACTATGTTTTCCTCTGAAAACTACAATTTGACTGTAAAGCAGCATTACACAAACGAAGCTAGAGTCTACATCCATTTCCTTCTGTAGCACTTCAATGGCACAGGACAGACTTTGCTGATTAAAGAGATCAGAATTAGAAACAAAAGGTAAATTCTACTTTTAGGGGCCCTGAGTAAGAACCTTCCTAAATAGTTCATGTATTCATCCCACAATTTCCCACAAATAGAAAGTATTACTATTGTTGAAAAATATTTTTCTTTTTGAGATGGAGACTCGTTCTGCCACCCAGGCTGAAATGCAGTGGCGTGATCTTGGCTCACTGCAATCTCCGCCTCCCAGGTTCAAGTGATTCTCCTGCCTTAGCCTGCCAAGTAGCTGGGATTATAGGCATGCACCACCACGCCTGGCTAATTTTTGTATTTTTAGCAGAGACGGGGTTTCACCATGTTGGCCAGGCTGGTCTCGAACTCCTGACCTCAAGAGATCCACCCGCCTTGGCCTCTCAAAGTGCTGGAATTATAGGTGTGAGCCACCGCGTCTGGTCTATAGTTGAAATTGTTAATAATCTCTTATACCTTCTCTAAAGCAGGACATAATCTACAGTCTAAACCTTGGTACCTGTGCTTCCCATCCTCATGGCCTCCACGTTTCCGTTCACCCCACTCTTTCCAAGGAGTCACCGGAGGAGATTAATTTTATGTTCTGATTCTGAATTCTCTGCATTCAACAATTAATCTGTTATTATTTTTAAAAATTACTTTTATAGCTTTTGTTTCTAAATAACTACATGAAAGATGGGGGTAATTTAAGACAATAACAACAAACATTTATAAAACTGTGACTTGTAACTGTTAATCTATATTTAGTCAATAAGATCAGTAGAAAGAAAGTGTTAGATGGCCCAGATCTTCCCAAGCAACGTGCTAACACAGTCAGAGGCCTCCTGAGGTGAGTAAGTGTAATGGAGGGAAAGAGAAAGAAGTACCAAGGTCATCAAACTC